AGGGAGGGGTGACCAAGGCGGTGGTGCCAGAGGAGGGTCCGGTGGGACAGGACACGACACGAGCAGGGGGCAGACTCAGGACCAGACCTGGACGCTGCAGCAAACACCTGACCCGACGCAGCTACCTGACCAGACTCAGCAACCGGAGGAGACTCAGTAGTCAGTGTGTACAGGCTTGACCCCGGCTGACGGGTAAACGTGGCCAAGTGTCGGCCCGTCCGAGCACACGTACAGTGGGTCACCCGCTGACTCGCAGGAGTGAACTGGTCAACCCCCCCATCCTGTAGATCAGCACCACTCACCAAGTTCGTAGAGAACGAGGGGAGGTAAAGACCTGACAGGGTGCCAGAAGGGGCCGCCGGACACGGTAAGACAGTGGAGAAGTGGGCAAGGACAGGACCCCCAGAGGGGTCCGCCAAGGAGACCGCAACTGGCCGACTAAGCGGCGTGAGTGTCGTGCGGTCTCGAAAGAAGGAGCGGAAAGCACCCGAGTCAAGGGTGAAGGTGTGTAACGCCTGAGCCGACGTGGTACCTGAGAGAGCCGACTCACCAGCACCTAGGGCAGCAGACGCACTAGCACCTAGAGCAGCAGCCTCACCAGCACCTAGAGCAGCAGCCTCACCAGCACCTAGAGCAGCAGCCTCAATGCCCGGGTCAGGCGGAACACACAGGTAACAGTCACCCTCATCACTAGTAGACACAACATACATGGCAGCAAGAATATCATCATAATCAAGATCAAAGATAGCAACCCCCGACCTAAGCAGCTCGCCCCAGCGGGGGATCTCAGTAGCGTCAGGGAACTGGAGACGCCAAGCGTCCGTCAGGCGGCCGAAGCAGCGCTGGGTGGTGTGCGGGCCACCGCACGGCTCACCAGTGCGGTCGCCGGTACGCAGGACGTAGGCACAGGGACCAGCACCCCCACCCCGCTGACGCGCAGCGTACCACTCACGAAGCTGCTGGGGGGGCGGGGTCTCACGAGTGCGCTGCTGCTGCTGGCGCAGACCACCACCGAAGCCGCCCCGCTGCGCAGAGCCACCCCGACCAGCTCCACCGCCGCCGCCGCCACCTCCGCCACCACCGCCACCGCCGCCTCCTCCGCCTCCTCCGCTCCCACCGCCACCGCCGCCGCCGCCTCCGCCTCCAACGCCGCCACCGAAGCCCCCACCCTCGCCACCACTCCCACCGCCACCCCCACCCCCTCCGCCGCCTCCACCGCCACCTCCACCGCCCCCGCCAGCTCCTCCAGCGCCCTTGCCCCCCTTGCCCTTGCCGGTGCGGCGTCTCCCGCTAGGGGCAGACACAGCGCCGACCGACTCGGTGCCAACGAAGTCGACGGCAGCAGCAGAGGCAACAGAGGGCAAAAGGGGGGAGGGGGAGCACCCCTCAAATAAGGGGGCACGAGGGTCACCACGAGAGGCTCCTACAGCGACTATACTCTTCTCAGCTGCCAGGAGGCACTCCTCGAGGAGGTCAACGGTGAGTGTGGTGGGGCAAACAGAGAGGAAGTGGTCCTTGACCGAGCGAAGGGAGTCAGGAAGCCGGGTGACTATGTAGTAGAGGGTGATGTACATGGGGGGGGGGGTTCTCTGCGCAGAACTCAGCAGGAAGCGCAGCGCGGTAGCGGGTGTCACTAGTGCGAAGGTGCGTAATGAGGTCAGCGACTGTAGGAAAGGCGGCGAGGTCAGGGAACAGGTACGGCAGCATGAGGCGGCTAAGGGCAGCAGTGGCAGGGGAAGAGTAGCGTGCAACTACAGCATCGTACAAGGTCTTAGCACTCTTGTACTGACTAAAGTGCGCGCGCTCAGTGGACGGCAATTGACTACGCACAGCAAGACGGGCAGCAGCATCGCGTGTGGCCCACTGTGAGCGAACAGTGCTGTCAGCATCGGCAGCAGGGGCAGCAGAGGCGCCAGACGTGAGATCGAACAGTGAGAGACCGTCTTTCCTATCGCACTGCAGGAAAAGCTGCAGATCATCGACCCAGACCTCAAAGTCGACAACCCGACCCTCAGCATCAAAGGTGAGAACGCTAGGGGTAGCCATGACAGCAGCAGCAGCAGGCTAGCAGCAGTAGCAGCAGGCTAGGAGCAGCTCAGTAGCAGAGGCGCGGCTCGGCGGTGCTCTTACCAGGGCGGGTGGGTAGAGGTCCGCAAGTGGTGGGGCAGGGCCGAGGCGCGCCGGCAGGGACAGGGCCGCGACAGGACGGAAGAGGAGTGCCGCTCCTCTCTGCAGGGCAGGGCCGGGACGGCGGCGGCGGCTCCTGCTGTCGGCGGCGGCGGCGGCGGCTGCGGCCCCGGCAGCGGCGGCGGCGGCTGTCACGGTAGCGGCGGCGGCGGTTGCTGCTGGCGGCGGCGGCTGCGGCCCCGGCAGCGGCGGCGGCGGCTGTCACGGCAACGACGGCGGCGGCTGCTGCTGTCGGCGGCGGCGGAGGCTGCTGCTGTCACGGCGGCGGCGGCGGCGGCTCCTGCTGTCGGCAGCGGCGGCGGCGGCGGCGGCCCCGGCAGTGGTGGCGGCGGCTGTTACGGCGCGACGGCTGCTGCTGCTGGGGCGGCGACGGCGGGGCGGCAAAGCCGTGAAGGAGCCGAGAAGGGGCCACGGAGGAGCCGAGAAGGGGCCGCTAAGGGCGGCGAAGGGGCCACGAAGGGCCGTGAAGGGGCCGCGAAGGGCGGCGACGGGGCCGAGAAGGGGCCGTGAGGGGCCGCTAAGGGCGGCGACGGGGCCGAGAAGGGGCCGCGAGGGGCCGCGAAGGGCCGCGGGAGGGGCCGCTACGGGGCCGTAAGAGGGCGCGACGGGCCGCTAAGGGCAGGGGACGCAACGGGAGGGCAGGCACACGGGGCGCGACTCGGGCAGGAGCAATTGACTTTGATTTTACTATTGTGCCAAAGTTTTATATCAGGTGCAACCGCCAGGCTCGGCCATTTAGGTTTGCCTCGCGAGGTTAGGACGTCAACCTAATCAACTTTGATCGGCGCGATCAAAGGCGATCGATAACTTCGAGGAAGGCGGGAAGCCAATTTCAGGCAATCGGGGGCAATCAGTTGATCGCGTTCAAATGATCGCTCCAACTCGATTAATCTCCTCAAACAGCCCGATAAAAATCGACCAGACACAATCAGTCCCAATCACTCGATTGCATGTGATCGGGGACCTGGGGGATGTATGCGAAATGTTACACAATTGACTAGAGGTCTCCCAATACACTAAATGTTACGTATATACAGGCGAGAAGATTGTGAAGCGGACATTGTGTGCAGTTTGACGCTTGCGAAGTTAGTACGATACACTGCGATTGCCAGTCTCGCCAAAGTTGGATAGAAACTAGCAGGAATGGTTTCACGCGGCACGTACAGCTTTCGAGGAAAATTAGCTCTGATCGGGCGGCGCGAGAAAAGCGATCACAAGCACTCCGATCCAATCCAACCCGATCCGACCCGATCCGATCAAAGTCGATTGGGCCCACGTCCGTAGTCCAACACTTGGTATGCGAGCTGGTGCGACAATTTTATTGGATACCGCACATGCGATGCTGGCTGTCGCCCTCCATGATGAGGTTCCATGGTCAGAGTGGGAGCATTCCCACCAAAACCCCCATCAGCTTTGAAAATAACAGGCTGGTGGGGAAACTTCGATGGTGGGGGAACTTGAGAATGCGCTGTTAGTGATACACCTCTATCGGACAGATGTGTTGTGACAGTTACTCCCCTATCGGACGCCGTTACTTCTAATCTTGGCACTGGAACAGCTGTGACAATGAAGGAAACTGTAGACAACTGGGCAAGGTCGTATCCACCCAACCCAGAACAGCTGTGACAAATGCCGTTACTTCGACAGCCCTGGTCGGAATGAGGCGAACTATTTCAGGCCGCAGGCCCTTGAAAATGATGGCATCATTCCGTCAGCTGTTCCCTCAGGACGCGCTGCACTTCTATTTTTTAATTCGAAAATGCTGAAGAAGATCGATCCAAATCCGAAATTTTGGTGAAGTGCGGGTTACTGTGCGTTTGGCGTTTACTCAACTGAATTTTGTCTTGACTGAACAGTGATACTGTTCGAGAAGTGCACCACGCTCGTGTTTTGCATGCGAACTTGAACGCCATAGCGCCCGAAACGCGGGCAAACGATACTGCAGAATTCCCCGTCAAATGCTCGAACTTGACAGAGAAGTGCACCACCCCAAAAGGTGAACTTCAGTTGCGAAATAAACGAAACACTAGCGACAGTAACATAATAGCTACGATGCTAAACGAAATGATGTGATTGGCTAGGCGACGTCTACAGTGTACCTACGACCTCATTTCGGTCGCACGGTTGGTAGGAGTTCGGGTTCCCCAAAAAACCAGTCTTGGTGCACCTGACAAAGGGTGCCGATATTCTGTGTTTTTGCATGTTCGAAAACACTGAAACGCGTGCAAGTTCGCCCAAAACCCGCTCCAAAGAATTTTCGAATAAATAAATAGAAGTGCAGCGCGCCCTCAGTGTTGTATCTGCTGTTCGATTTCCTATGCGAGTGCATTGAGGGTACTGCTGCAATCCAGCGAAATCTTCAGCTGTATCTGCTTTCACGCCAAAACATATATTGTTAGTTTTCTATCAGGGCGAGGTCAGCGCGTCGTCCTGCGTTCATTTACGGTTCCATCGTATGGAAGACATTTCCAGACGGTGCACAACGGTAATCAAAATCCACTGTTTAAACCGAGACCAAACGAGAGTTACCGCACAGGACGAACAAGGGACCAACGCACTGACCTCGCCGATTATGAAACCTTCCTTCGTCCGGCCTGGAGTTAAGTCTTTTTGCATTTTCGCCTTTGTTTTTTGGCAAGCCGTCTCTCTCTCCCTTTCTTTCAACTGTCATGGCGCGAAACCCGGCGTTCGTCCCTCTCTACTTTGTCTGCGGCGTGCTGGTCGTCGTCATGCTTCTCGCTTCTGCCGCTGCGAGTAGTGCCTACCGTGTGGCGGATGGCCAGCGACAACGTATCGGACGGGTCTTTTCCGCGATGCCTCGCTTGCCCCCGACGAGTCGTCGCCCGCGCCAGGCGGCGGCTGCGTCTGTAACGCCGATTCAGGCGCGCATCAAGCTCCAACCGTCGCAATGTGAGTGCTTTTTTTTGTCGCCGATGGCGGCTGTTCTGCTCAATTTGAAGCATAATTTCTTGCTCTCCTATATGATGATCGTCTAACAGCAGGCAATTCCGACTGCAGATTTCAAGGGGTCCTTGCTCATTACTCTTGCCATAAATGTCGCTCCCCTTCTCCCACTTCGGGGTACAGCAGAACGTGGAGATGCCTAGCCAGGCGACCAGTTCTTGTCGCCGCCCAACAGTCACCTGACGGCTGGCAAGCCATGCTCATCCCCTTCGTCCTGCCTTTGCATCCCCCAAAAATCTCCTCGTCCACCTTGCCCCCAGTGCAAGCGCTTCTGGCCCTGAACCAGGCATTGACTTTGTGGATGAATTGCACCTCGTCAAACGTGTTCTGTCATGAGTGGAAGAGCGGAGTTGCGGGCTTGAAGTGTAACCAAGACGGCATGGTTACTGAGCTGTAAGTTTTGTCATGAGATCTTGCTGTGCACTCTGGAAAAGGAGTAGCGGGTACATGGGGGGAGGAGGTAAGTGGGGATGCGGATAGGTGGAAGGAAGGAGTTGGTATAGAAGGGCTGTTTGGCATGATGGATGATACATCCTAAAACAATTATCGAGGGGTTGGGTGTTGCGAACCATGCAGCAGGGACTTCGTGCCCTCGTCCGAGGTGTATGTACAGTCTCTGCAATGAAAATATAAGCTTTTTGGGTTACCTCGTACGGACCATACTTGCCGAACCTAACAAATGTGAACTAGGAAAAATGTATCACTTAGGTACTGGCTAGTGTGTGTGTGCTCTGCTGTGCATTTCTTTCTTTCTTTCTTTCCTTCTTTCCTTCTTTCCTTCTTTCCTTCTTTCCTTCTTTCCTTCTTTCCTTCTTTCCTTCCTTCTTTCCTTCTTTCCTTCTTTCCTTCTTTCCTTCTTTCCTTCCTTCCTTCCTTTCGTTCCTTCCTTCCTTCTTTCCTTCTTTCCTTCCTTCCTTCTTTCCTTCCTTCTTTCCTTCCTTCCTTCCTTCCTTCCTTCCTTCCTTCCTTCCTTCCTTCCTTCCTTCCTTCCTTCCTTCTTTCCTTCTTTCCTTCCTTCCTTCTTTCCTTCCTTCTTTCCTTCCTTCTTTCCTTCTTTCCTTCCTTCCTTCTTTCCTTCCTTCTTTCCTTCCTTCTTTCCTTCCTTCCTTCCTTCCTTCCTTCCTTCCTTCCTTCCTTCCTTCCTTCCTTCCTTCCTTCCTTCCTTCCTTCCTTCCTTCCTTCCTTCCTTCTTTCCTTCTTTCCTTCCTTCCTTCTTTCCTTACTTCTTTCCTTCCTTCTTTCCTTCTTTCCTTCCTTCCTTCTTTCCTTCCTTCTTTCCTTCCTTCTTTCCTTCCTTCCTTCCTTCCTTCTTTCCTTCCTTCCTTCCTTCCTTCTTTCCTTCCTTCTTTCCTTCCTTCTTTCCTTCCTTCTTTCCTTCCTTCTTTCCTTCCTTCTTTCCTTCCTTCTTTCCTTCTGCCTTTCTGCCTTTCTGCCTTCCTTTCTTTCTGCCTTTCTTTCTTTCTGCCGTTCTTTCTTTCTGCCTTTCCATCTCACATCGTATGATATGTAATGTAGGTCCGCACCTTTCGTCCTTGGTTCGCATGGCAACGTGCCAGCAGACATCACAGCCCTCTCTGCGCTTCAGAAACTGTCAGTGCATACCATTGTTGGGGGGGAGGCACCAGGATGGCCGTAGGGGTGCTCGAAGGTCCAGAGAATGGGTTGTAGTGGGTGCGCTGAAACACGTGTGCTGGTGATCTAGAAAGATCCTTGTATGTATCATGCATCGCACACAGTCGGAAGTTCCTGTGTATCTACCGTTTTTACTTTCTGTCGTATTTCCGCTCCATAGGTACTACTACTAGTTTATTTTCCAACATCTGCAAACCCTCCGAGCTCAAAGGGGAAAAGGGCCTCAGAGCTCTAAATCCCTTGGGATTCGCTTCTCGTATATGACGTGTAGTCACCCTGCCCTCTTGCATTACATTGCACGCCACTCTGTAGGAATCTGGTTGGTACGCCCTTCAGTGGGAGCTTGGAGATTCTCGGCCAATTCCCCGAGTTGCAATATGTGTACGCAGCTACTTTCCGTTCCACCATTGCACCTTCTTGCCTATAAACCTATCTTAATCGTTTGAGTCTAGTCCATGGTTGGCTTACATCATCAGTTTCCCTTGGTTGTCGCTCTCTCCCATCGCTCTCTCCCATTGCTCTCTCCCATCGCTCTCTCCCACATGTGAGGTGTGCGTACCCCCCCACCCACTTGGTTGCCATGGCACACGCCAGAGATCTGAGCTACACTGACTTCAAAGGATCCATCCCTGAAACAATCAGCAATGCCCAGAGCCTGCAGTACCTGTAAGAGGGGGTTCTAGTGTCAAGGCAAGGCAACAGGGCATGATGAATCATCATCCTGGCGTGCACCTACTGCACTTGTCACCCTGAGGAAGAATGAGAATCCGGGATTCCATCACGTGTCGAGCGTGGCCTACGGGGGCAGTTCATTTCGCGGCTCTGGAGAGTGCTTTCATTCTTGCCTTTCTTTCTTTCTTTCTTTTTGTTAGGCAGAATACACCCTACTATTGGAACCAATTTCCAAAATTCAAATCTCATCTATTAGCGTGCCAATGCACATTTTCCCCTACTGGCACGTTCTTCTGTGCACCAACTCGTATGCATCCCATCCCAGTAACCTCCAAGCCTGAATCTCAATGGAAGTCTCCCTGGCAGCATCAGTCGCCTCACTGCACTCCAATCCCTGAATTTCTTCCCTCACCTCCCCCAACCTCCTTCCTTGCCTTCCTAAATCTCCCCCCTGTCCTCTTCCACCCCCAAGATTGCAAGCACATCGTTTGAACCTCATATTGACACATTTGTTTTTGCCCTCTCCACTTCCTAGCCGCTGCTCCCCTTTCTTTCGTAGCGCACCAGTCCGTTGCAAGCATGTAAACTCCCTTTCCCTCTCTCTGCTCTGCCCCCAACATGCAGGCGCATTGGGACGCCACAGCCGTCTACTTACCCCCCTCCTTATGCATACGACCCTCCAACAGAGTGAGACTGACGGGGATGAATGGAATGGGGCTCTTGCTGCCTGCTGGTGCATGCATGATGTGTGTGAATCGCCATCAACATATTTGCAGAAGTTGTAGCAGCGTAGTAACATGGCTACGGAATAGAATACTGTGTATGGTCAGGCGGTCAGTGGCAAATGTGTGAGTGTTCCTCAAGTACTTGATGCTTGGGATGCTCTTGGAAAGAATCACTGGCTGATGTGATGCGAACCACATGGTTCTGAAGCACACAGTGCAGTGCTGCAGGGCAGCTCATGTGACGACGAGGCCGTCCGTGTGTGCACACCTTCCATGCCGCAGCTCGCACTCCACCTTCCTTACCACAGCTCACCGCCTTCTATTCTCCTAACATGCTCAATTCCACGTGCTCACTGCTGCATGCACCCACCCAAATGGGGCTTCTGCTCCACCGTTTCTGCTGTGACTACTGCTGCAATTTGAGAATTATTAGAAGCCCCCTGCACGAGTGATTCTGCTGTGGTGCCCTTTTCCGCCATGGGCAAAACACAGCCCCACTGAAAGCTACTTACTCCCCCCCGCGGCCCGCCTCCCTTCACCCTGCCATCTGTTGCTCTCGCAGTCTTCTATCCATTGAGCAAGGCTCTATGGACGACCTCTCCTGTCTCGCTCCACTCACTCGTCTCCAGGACCTGTATGCTTCGATTCTTCCCAGCCCGCCTTTTCCCTTAATCTAACTCATCCCAACCCATCCTCCCCTTCCCTCTAAATCAACTCATCTCTACCTATTCTCACTCATTTCTACCCGCCTTTCATCCCGTCTCACTCTTTCCTACCCGCCTTCGCCTCCCCTCTCACCCCCCACTTACCCGTCTTCCACTCCCCTCTCACTCATCCTTATCTGCCATCCCCTCTTTCTCTGCTAACACATGCTCCTATTCAGCGTGCAACGGTCAGTCCAGCAGCATAGTTCATGGATTTAAGTCCCCCTGCAGATCGCAGCACATCCAAGGGGCTCGCTACCTGCTGCTGCCCCTCGCCCGTGCTTCATTCACACCTGCACATTGAACACAGCACTTGCCCATGCTTCATTCACACCTCCTCACTCGCTCACATTCTGTTTGCTTCCCAACTACCGTCTGTCCACTTCACCAGTGTCTTTCACCCTCTCTCCTGCATGCCTGCCTCTCTCTCTTCCATCCTCACTTCTCCTCAGCGCTCTCATGAGTCTCAACCTGACTTCTGGAGATTTCCCTTCCTCTCTCTCTGCACTTACTTCACTCAAGCACCTGTAAGTCCCTAGAGTATCTTCCTTCCTCCTCCTTAAGCGAGTGCTTGGTATAGTTTCTATCTCATGTTTTTTATGCTTTGTGTTGGCAATCACCAAAGTGCAACCATGGTGCTGGTGTGGCATCATCTCTCACTTGCTCCTGGTTAGCCTTGGGTATGTGCTTGCTCGTTGCGCGCGTTGCATTGCATCTCATCACTGTATGCTCATGAAAAAGGCACAATCAGCAGAAACAAGTTTCTTTCCCACTTACGCAAGTCGAAATAGGAGCGAGCGAGCACGTTTCTCTTTCAATGTCCCAGAGCTCTAATTATGGAACCATTATGAAATTCTCAAGGTTGATCCAGCAGGGGTCAGCAGGAGCTTAGGGGTGCGCTCACCATCTCTCCTCTCCCTTCTTTCCTGTATTGCATTGCAGTGACCTAAGTTTCCTTCCCATCACCCGCTTACCAGAGTGGATCGCTTCACTCGCTAAGCTCACTCATTTGTGAGTGGAACCAAGAGCCTCTCGCCCCACCCCGCCCTGACTATCATCACCGCTTCCTGTTGCACCTTGCCCGTGCTTCAGTTGGGATACAAGAGGCCAGCACACGTCCGCTCTGCGGGTTCCACCTCCTCTCTCTCCCTGCACCACCTGTGATTCGCTACAGCCTTGCCATGCCACTTGCGCTCTCACTCTCTGCTTCCATAGCTTGCTGCTGGAGCGATGCCAATGAAATCGCCTCAAGCTCGCACCCTGACGGGTCCGTGCCGCGTTGAATCGAGGGTGTTCGACGGCGTTCCCTGTGCTGCCCTGCGCCATTCTGCCCTGCGCCATGCTGCCCTGCGCCATGAAGCCGTGCATTGGTCCACATGTGGCTCAAGGCAGAGTCAATCAGGGCAATGAACGATGGTTAGAGAGATTGCTCAATGGCTAGAAAGTGAGATTCAGATGTACGCAATGCTCCCTGCCGTGCCTCTCCACCGACTGGAGCGCCCCGTGACTCCCCTACCCTCCTGCCCTTATCTTCCCTGCAGGGACGTCACCGGAAACTTACACGTCCACCGCTCTGCACCTTTCCCCACCGAATGGATGGCGCTCACAAGGCTGGAAACGCTGTGAGCGAGCCATCCGCCATGTCCACAACACACCAGCTTGGTTTGACACCTGCTGCTGCTCGCCTCACCATCCAAAGCCATCCGTTCCTTACATTGCCTGATGGGCCACTCCGCTCAGCCCCGCTCTGTTGCCCTCCAGCTGCCAATGCATGCGCCCCTCCCCTCCTCTCACCCCTCCCCTCCTCTCGCCCCTCCCCTTGCACCTCCAGGCGGGCCGGTCTGAATGGCTTCACTGGCTCTATCCCCTCCACCATCTCCGCCCTCACCGCCCTCACCATCCTGTACACCTCCCCTTCTCATCCTCTCTCCTCTTCCTTCCTCTCTCCATTTCCCATCCTCTCTCCCCTTCCCATCCTCTCTCCCCTTCCCATCCACTCTCTCCTTCCCATCCTCTCTCCCCTTCCCATCCTCTATCTCCTCTCCATCCTCTCTCCCTTTCCCATCCTCTTTCCAATTCCTATCCTCTCTCCCTTTCCCATCCTCTCTCCAATTCATATCCTCTCTCCCCTTCCCATTCTCTCTCCCCTTCCCATCCTCTCTCTCCTTCTCATCCTCTCTCCTCTTTCCATCCTCTCTCTCTCCAGTTCCTATCCTCTCTCCCCTTCCCATCCTCTCTCCAATTCCTATCCTCTCTCCCCTTCCCGTCCTCTCTCCCCTTACCATCCTCTCTCCCCTTCCCATCCTCTCTCCCCTTCCTCTCTCCCCTTACTTCCTTTCTCCCCTTCCTTCCTCTCTCCCCTTCCTTCCTCTCTGCCCTTCCTTCCTTCCTTCTCTCTCCCCTTCCTCTCTCCCCTTCCTTCCTCTCTCCCCTTCCTCTCTCCCCTTCCTTCCTCTCCTTCCCCGTCCGTCCATGGGAACCCCATTAGAAATGCAGTGGTCGTAGAAATAAGGAAGTGTACACATACTATACGCCAAAGCACCAGGTTGTGAGCACCAGGTTGTTAGCACCAGGTTGCGAGCACCAAGGTGTCACATCCAGCTAAATAATGGACTCCGAATAAATCTCTTGCACAGGTAGTTCATCCAGTTAAAGCAGTTCGCTTGGTGACAGTGGTTCTTTCGGTGAAAATACTTCTTCCCGTAAAAGCGGTTTACTCAATGAGAGTGGTGGCCATTCCCCCTCCTCCCTCCACTCCTCGCCATGGCCC